CAACGCAAAATTCGTTGGAGCAGCGAACACATCGCTGAGAGAGCGAAGGCGATCGTTGATTCAACTAAAAACGCTTTCGTTCCAGCAATCAGATTTATTCACTTCGTCAACGATCTATTCGCTCTCACAACTAAGAATTCGTTCTCCCAGCAAACGCTCGATTAAAACAACGGATATTGTGTTCCCACAACGAATTCTTTTTGCAAGCTCCAAATCAACTCAAACATGGGTTGAAGCAACGAATTATTTTTTTCCGTGGACGTGCACCTTCGCGGTACCGGCTCATAATATATTTACGTGGCTTCGAAGCTCATATTCACTGTAAAAATTGATGTTGCTAATTAATTTTTTTCCAAGTTTCTCAATGACCTAGTCTTTTTAAACAAGCCCACTTATATGTAACAGTAATTTTTGTTTGGGGAAAAGTAAAGCCCTTATTTATAAAAGTTAACATTGTCGATTGTCACGATGAACATCTAATATTCGTTCGAAGAGAACATCACTTTTAATCAAAAAAATTGTGACCTCTGTTGTTACACGACAAGCATAGTTGTTCTACAACGACAAAAAGCAATTGAAAAACTTAATAATAATACGTTCACTATAAATTTAACAACATAATGTTTTAATGTGGGGTTAGCATTTTTTCCTGCTATTTATGTAGACTGAAGTACTCTATAATAGCGCAAGTTTGGGTTGCAGGGTGATTCAGGTGGGCCTCTGCAAATCGCGACGCAGTCGCCCGGTGGTGGCGTCTGTCTGCACCAACTCGTGGGTGTCGTCTCCTTCGGCCCAGCCTGCGGCATCGGTCTACCCGGGGTCTATACGCGCGTGGCGCACTACGTGCCCTGGATCGAGTCCGTGGTTTGGAGCGGGGCCCACGCACCTAGTAGCCCCGCAGGGGCCACCTGCGCACCGCTACGCCGCCTAGATGAGGACGGTACCTGGACCGACCTCCAGCTGCCCGTGACTGGGAACGGCACCCTTGCGCGCAGAAGTATGCATCCTATAGCTGCACTGTATTCAATGTAATAACAGCGAAACTGTAGGCTTCGCCAAAAAGTTTCATAATGACGAAGAGGACTAGTGAGGTGTGGGTGCCTTCAAATCCCCTGCCGTTTATGTCTTTGAACTTCTTGGTGACTTCCTAGTTTCACTTCGAGGTTTAGCGGGGTTTTGAGCCCGGCCTACCCTAACAAACCATCCCGTCGTTTTGCAGTGTGCAGGTCCTACGTCTTAGATTGGTGCTCCAGTGGAGGTCCGCTGACTATGCAGCCAGGGTTGACACCGCGTGACACCTGCCACTTCCATCGAGACAACTTTCGGCCCGTTGATCCCCTTGACTATCCACATATGGTAATATGGTAATATGGAACACATGCAACGTACATACGCATTTCTTTAACTTTTATTCGGAAAGTAGATGGATATCTAAGTTGTTATGCATCAGAAATTGCTCAATTTATTGTTACTTGTGTGTTTTTCTGCAAGTAACTTACTGATAACAGAAGAAATTGTCAGTATTGCAAAAAGGGACTTCGTAATGGTAATGGAAAGTTTGTCAGTAGCTTGTAACGGTTTTCCAACAGCAGAAATACTGACAGAGGGGGTAAAAAATTGTAACTTGATGAGTGTCAGGAAAAAGATAGAACTTTGAGGAACTCATGTATTTGAGGAAAATTCCCTGAGATTTTGAGAAGATCTTCTTGAAAACTAGTCCTACATATCAAGTACAGACTTCCTCAAAATGTGAGGATTTTTTTCCTCATACGGTGGTTTCGTAAAGTTTACTTTTTTCCCTCAAAAGATCGAATGTTTGGACCGTGTACCTCGTAAAGTGGCAACTTTTTCACGTCCATATCAACGAAAACATTGGGAATTTTTTCGAAAGAGGCAAGTATAGATTAGTTTGAATGCACTCTTAACGTAAATACTGGCCCCTTCTTTACGCAGGCTCTGCTGGTGTACGGCGATAGCTATTTCAATGAGGAGGTAGGCTGCCTGGCATCTCTAATATCGCCTACCTTCCTGTTGACCGCCGCGCGGTGCACAACGCTGGGCTGGTAAGTTACCAATAATTGTTCTACAAATCACACATAGTAGTAACTGACACATCATACAAAGATATTGCTGTGTATATTTGTTTGTTAAAAACTTGCCCATCAAACGTACACGTAGACCGCTCGACTGAAAAACATCCCTGCCATTAAAACGGAGTTGACAGCGGAAAAATGTGGGGCTGTCAACGGAAGGAGTTGGTCCTGTGGTATGAATTTCTGCACCAAAAGGGTATTCCAGGCTATCCAAAACGGAAGTGGGAAAAGAACAAGCTCACTGACTTTTCTGTTTCCGTGATGGCTCTGATTGGTTGAGCTGATCACGTGCAACGACGGCCTTTCATGCATGTAAAACTGTCAGATCAGTTTCGAGCTCCTCTCCATATTTGAAGGTTAGAATCGGACCAAACTACCATGGTAATTTCACATACTGAGCAGACGGAAACAGATTAATCGTTTAATTAATCGATTAATTCGTTCTTTTTCACTTTCCGTTTTAGATAGCCTGGCACACCATATTTGGCTAGTGGGACAGGTTTGGCCTGTGGTCCACTATACGATATCCTTCTTAGACATGGAAACACTGTTACGATGAGGAACCGTTGACAACATCCCAGTGGCAGTTTCGCGTCATTTGTTTAATGTAAAAAACCGTTAATAATTCTTGTTAACGGCGAAACGAACCCACTGTAATGGAATTTTAGTTCTAAGGTGTTCTAGACAAAGCACACTGTTTAATTTCTTCTTGGGTCTTTTTGCGTGGGTGTATTTCTGAATTACTGTATCGTCCGTAAGTTTCGAAAATTTACACTATTTCTCACGAGGGTGGCAAGCTCTCGCGGAGCGGACTACTCGAAGTAAGATGTTCATTGTTGGGCTGTTACCCAGACGCGGCTCAAAATAATGCAACCGGTGGTGTTAACCATGACGCTGGCCCCCCTCAGTCTGGTAGAAACGGGTTCGTTTGAAGAGTCATAGCTTAAAATTGACCAGTTTCTTTCTAGACCAAACTCTGTGACTAGAACGGTTAAATGGCACATCTGAGAACGTATTTCGGTTCAGAATGTTTGTTTCTGTTTTTTTTTTCTTTTTTTTTTTTTCTGTGGAAGGGGGCATATTTAAAACTGTTCAATTCTAGGCCTTAGAAAATCTATCGAGTGGGCTTATGCAAACGACCTAGCGTCTGCCTGTTCTACTAGAAGGACATCCCAAACGATCCCAATTACCCTTGAGGGAGTACACGGGGGTATCAAAGAAAGAGGGGCAGCTGTGGTGGGCTCAATCATTACAGATGTGATAATGTACATTATTTGAGATGGCTAACCAAGGCGACTTAGTAGAATCGAAAGACTACTCTCAAAGTTCACTCTCAGCAATAAAGGGCCCGGTCCGCGCCAATCGCTACCGGTTAGGCACATGCCACCAGCAGCTAATGGGTGTCACTCTGCCTTAAGTGGCATCCGTATCCCATCGAAACCCTTTCGTTTCTATTTTCTTGTCTAAAAGTCGCCAGGAGATTTGAAGGACATCGTCCCCCATGCCCACAGCCTGCCCGTGAAGCGCGCCATTCTCGGCGTGTTAGGAGGTCGGGGAGCTCTGGGGCGCCACTATCGTTCTAAGGACCGCCAGGAGGTGGCAATCGCTGAGGCCGTGCCACACCCCGACTACGTCAGCGACCGGCGCTACAACGACATCGCTCTACTCCGCCTTACCAAGCCCGTGAAGATGTCGGCTTTGGTGCGGCCGGTGTGCCTACACACGGCCACACACGGCTCCGAGGTGGGGCGGCGCATATCGGCTACCGGGTGGGGGGCCTCCGGCTACTGTAAGTGCAAACTTCAGGTAGAAGTGTAAGTGGGGGGG